TCCATGCAAGATATTAAAACACACTATAAGGCCACAACAAATAGTATGATGGTCTAGAGCCAATAAGCGATGGATAGATCTTCGGAAAAGATTGTTCTGAAAATACATTAAAATATACAATAACTAAATATGATGAATACTCACCCTGTTCCACCCTTCTCAATCATTTTTCTGCCTCTCAAACATGCCAAGCTTGTTCCCACCTCAGGGCCTTGATACTTAATGTTCCCGCTACCTGGGGGTACCTTCAGTTGAAATGTCACCTCTCAGAGATGGTCTGTCCCTGACAACTTGTGCTCTTAGTGCTACCCATCACCCCCATACCAGGCCCTCGCTCACTCACCATTAACGGCACTTGTCACTTCGAAATTATTTGTCGAAGTGTCCAGTATTTATTGTCTGTCTGACTAAAGGCTCACTAAAGGCCTAGTCCTCGGGGTCTAGAAGAGCTCTTAGCACTACTCAGTGCTTTAAAAAATTAACTTTGTATATATAAATTTTATAATGATAAGGACTCCAAAGTATTTCATATCCAACACAGGTCTGTCTTCTATATATAATTTTGTATTACATGTACAAATGAACAAATATTTACCATAATGAATTTAGCTGAACAGCAAGATATTTAGTTAGATTTATCAATAACTGTGAAATCTATTGTTATTATCATCACATAACATCATCACTTAATTATAATCTTAGCACATCACTTATTTTTATCATCAACCACCCTGTAAATAGAGCATGGTTCAGTAAATGAGACTCTTCCAGAGCTAACTTCTAATTCCAACTGAACTCACACCCTATCTTTTATCCATTGTATTTTCTGCTTTCTCTGCAAATCCAAGAGTCACAATGAAAGGTGAGCAAAAGAGAAAATAAGCCTGGACTTGCCCATTTGAGCAGAATTTAGATGTTCCTTGTCCAACCTTGCTCCTGCTTCTCCACCTCCCCCTGTCTCCACACCACCTCCATCCTGCATGGGCAACCCCATTTGTCGACATTTTCCTCCCTACTCCCAAAAGAGGAGGCTATGACGATCATAAAAAAACTTGTTGCAACAAGTCGAGTCTGACTCATAGTGACCCTATGGGACAGAGTAGAACTGCCCACATGGGGTTTCCAACGAGTGGCTCGTGGACTCAAACTGCTTGACCTTTTTGCTGGCAGCTGAGCTCTTAACCACTGTGTCACCAGGGCTGTGCCCTATGAGGGTAATAGAGAAAACCTATTTCGTTGTTTTTGGAATAAGACGGTAACAGAGAATCTGTAAAAGATAGTTAAAAATTAGGAGTCAGATCATGTAAGATCTGAGGGCTGGTCAGCAGAATCCCTTCCAAAAAACAAGTTAAAAGATGTGTTCTTCCTCTCTATGTTTCACACTCAAATGCTAAAACAACCAACCACAGTTCATCTGGAGTGTCTGCTTCTGTGTGTGGACTGCTTTTGTCGGGCACCTGTAGTAAAAGGATCAAGGAGTACTGGAAGGAACTTTTTCCAGTGCTGTTCCATTTTTTGGGCAGTTTAGTCATTCACTTCTTGAAGAACAGGAAAGAGATTTCCAGGAAAAGAGTTGGCCTGAACTGCTCAGATAATATAGTTAGATGTATGTACTGAGTCTTTTTCTTTGTTAGGAATGTTTCACAATAAAGTATATTACTAGTTGCTGACCTCTGGAAAGGTCCAACGTGGCCTCAGGACTAGTTAGACAAGGCCAGGCCATATGTTTGGTTTTATTAATATATCTGTCCTGAAGAGTGAAATTTCACAACTGTGTGACCCCACATGGGAGCTGCAAATTGCTTCCCATGCTTTTCTTCAGAATTTTGACAAAACAAGAACTGGCTGTGCTTTTCATTTTTAACCTTTCCATATTCTTTATCTGCCTCCTGTAGAAGTTAAATACAGTTTAAACTCTTGTTGTTTAATCTGAGTCTAGATAACCTTGTTTACTGACCATTCATAACGAATATTATGTAGTGACACTTTTCCTTCCAGTCTGATCCAAAAATATGTATTACTGGATCCATTTAAAGACTAGATTCCAGCAACACATAAATATGCTTATTCACTTTGCCTCCTAGAGCCCTGGTGGGATGGTGGTTAAGTGTTCGGCTGCTAACCAAAAGGTCAGTAGTTTGAATCCACCAGTCACTCCTTGGAAATCCTATGAGCAGTTCTACACTGTCCTATAGGGTCACTGACTCAGAATCCACTCACTGACAATTTTTTTTTTTTAATTTGCCTCCAGTTTTAAAAAAAACACCTCTACCTGTAGCACAGCCCTAAAATTGCTTCATAAGAAAAAAAAACTTTTAAGAAGCATATTCAATTTTCACCTTCCTCTCCTTAACCAAAAGAACCACAAAACAATACACAAACTGAAACCGCTAAACATTCTGCATAAAAATAAGAAACTCTATCAAAGCATCGTGGCTGTTACAGTATAAAGAAAAACAGCTACCTGCCATCTATGTTTAATAAATCCTAGGTGGAAAGTAAGCACTTTGCATATTTCTCAGCCCAGGCAACCTCCATTTATGCTATTACTATACCCTCTGTAAGTGTGGGAGCTACCCAACTGGAACAATGACTTAAAGGAGAAATGGTGAAGAGTTACTAAAATAGAAAACCAGGAAACTGGCTTTCCAAATCAGGACTACATAAGTATCTCAGCTTTCAGAAGCTAGTCCCAAATGTTCATCCTCGTTTTCTTTTTTGCTGCTTTGATATTCCCCAACTGACAGCCTCACCTGGTCATCTCCTATCTCCTGGCTAATTCCAGCCTCTGGTTTCTGACTCAATATGAACTCTCAGCCTGGAATTTAGCATCTATTCTATGCTAACGATACAGCAGAGAAGGAAAGAAAATCTCTGCCCTCAGGGAGTTTACATTCTAGTGGAAGGAAAAAGACAATAAATACATAATTAAGACAGCTAGGATTAGGTGACCATATGAAATTGCTGATAGTTGAACTTTCCGACCTGTAAAAATGGCGCTTTCATATAAGTCAACCTATATATCTAATAGTGATGAATGTTATCTAAAAAATAAAGCAAAGGAGGCGAACAGATAGTAGGGTGGATGAGGGAGTGAGGATAGAGAAGGTTTCAATGAAAAACAGGGTAATCGGCCTCAAAGAAGTGGAATTTGTGAGATTTTTCCTACTATTTCATTAATTTTCTAAGGCTCATGCAATCCTTTATGATGAGTTTTTAAAAACTGTAAGATAACATGGAAGCTGCTGAAAACTTAAATGAGTCATTTAAACATGTAAATTTAAGGTACTTACATCAAGCAGGAATATGAGATACAGACGATATTAATACAATTTTACTGATATCCTATGAAATTAGATTTTAAAATGTGGTATGGTATGAAAAATTAATTATATATGTTCTAGGCCATTAATTTTAAAAACAAAAAATAAAGTTTACTTGAATGAGTTCAGTATACACTTTGTTACATTTTTAAAATATACATGATCAAAGTACAAACAACTCCCACAGCTGAATCACCCAAATAGCCAATTTCTATCTGATACAATGTTTTTCTATTATTTAAATTGTTTTGTGAACTACAAAAATGTTTGTGTGGGGGGGTAGCAAAGAATTACTTATAAAATGTACTTATGAAACAGCTTAATTAATTAAAAGATAAATTAAAGTAATACATGATTTAACCATTAAAACAATAAAACCATTATCATAACTGTAAACAAATTCCATAAAATAAAAATTAGGATACAAGTAAAATTAACTACTAAATTAATTGATTGAACATGGAATCAATCTAAAGAGATTTACTAGCTCAATAATCTAACCACTCATATGTGCCCCTTCTCCAAAAGAAATCTCTAAACCAGAACTTTCTGCAAAGTTGGAAAGTTCAGCGCTACCCAACAGAACTTTCTGCCTTGTCCAATAAGGTAGCCACTAGCCACATATGGCTACTGAACATTAGAAATGGGGCTAATGCAACTAAAGAACAGAATTTTTAATTTTATTTTAATTAGTTTAAATTTAAATAGTCACATGTAGCTAGTGGCATCCATATTGGACAGCACAGCTCTAAGTCCTGCCTCCTACACTCTTCTTCTGTTAACTCAATCTTCCTTCTAGCTGATTCCCTAGTACAGAAGACTTAGGCTCCAGTTCTCGCTCTCAGTCTACCTGTCTGCCCTTCTGGCCTCAAATTTTCTTCCTGAGCTGTTGCATAGCTGCTTCCAGCCAAGCTGTGGGGCTGGACCTGCTCATCTCAGGAACCCTGATGTGGCAGACCCCTGGTCCCTCCCCTTCTGCCCATGATAGGAAGTGGAACAGGAACCTCTTTCAAAATGGGAACAGACAACTAAATGTACTATAAGACTTACTAGAAACTACACTTGCCTGAAAGCAAGAGAGTAAATCCAGTGATTAACAAAAGGTCATTTCAAACTTAAAGTTCTATGATTCCAAACCTAAAATTCTACATAGACATATGACTATTTCGAAAATTATACCGTACTAACAAAATAACCCTAGCATCCTAAACCTCACAGAAGCCTACCCCGAAATCAAAGCATCTAATGGATATTAGGCACTGTTTCGAATCACACATAATGCAGCCAGTCCCCTGAATCATTAAGCAAAAAGGTTAACTCTCTTCTTTCTGTTTCTTAGTTCTTAAGAAAGATGTTTCAAAACCCAAAGTATTATTTTCATTATTTACTGTCATTCTTAGGACACAGGTCACATATATTCTTATGCAAAACAGTGGAGTAACTCCTGCTCTCCATTTTACAAATCTGTTACAGCCAGTCAATTTCAAACGAATACTCATTTTCTGTATTTGCCAGACTTCATAACTTGTAATTAGTAGATATAATAGTTTCAAATATAGTACTAAGCTGATGATATATGAAGATGTAGCATAATATAGTGAGAAAACAAAACTTTACAGGATAAAAGTGGATTCAATATGTATGTGACAAAATTGAGCGCAGCTCCAAAAAACTTACTGATTTAATATGACATCGAGAATGAATGATGTTCCAAAGGCATCAACCTGGAAGGCTGCTTGGTCGATGTGAGTCAACTGCGATATGAAAAAGATAAAAGACATTTACTATACAGCTATAAAAGTCCGGTGGCAAGTATTTCATATGATCATTCTAAAAGGTTTACAAAATCATAAATGAGAAAACAAATTTAATATGGAGAATAAATGAAAACATAGAAAAGTAAAATCTGTACCTACTTAGAAGTCAAGCGTTTATCCATCAGAAATAAATTACCACCCAATCAAGAAGAACAAGTGCCCTACCTTTCTGGTTTATTGCAAGTGGTTAAACACTTCATTTCTGAGAAGACGGCATTTCATTCGTTTTATTCTGTATTAAATAACTGGTCCCTTTAAAATTTACTACGCCATCCCAGGAACTCTAAACTAAAAAATACAGTGTTGTCAGTAACACTAATAACCAATTAAAAGAATAATTCCTTTTATAAGGATCAGTACAAAGCTGGTTCCTATGAGGCGGAGGTAAAGATGTCCCAAATGTCCAACTTTTCCAAACCGCTGTACCACTCCATCATCTCTAACATCAACTACTACCTCTCCCCTCAGTACTCTCCCTTCTATCTTTGGGTTCCCTAATTCACTGTAATGTCTCACAGAACTCATAAGCAGTTGTGGAGGCTAGCAAGTCCCAAATCCACGAGTCAGGCGTAAGCTTCTCCCAACCCACCAGCACACTGAATAATCATGTGCATTAAGTGAAAATAAATGAGGAAGAAAACCTATTTCATTTGACTCCCTAAATATTAACAATCGCTCTATCTAAGCTGTTGGACTATAAGCTATTTGAATTTTTTGTTTATATGTTCCAATAGTATTAAAAATTTCTAAAATAAACATGTCTAATTCCTACAATGAGGGGAAAAAAAACAGCAAACACTATTTTAGGGATAAAAATTGTCTAAGCAACAACTGTATGTATGTTGTATGTGAGGCAGATGGTGCTCCCTGGGAACCAGTGCATCGCAGGAAGGGACATCTCAGGATTCTGTGGGACATAAAGGGCACCTCAATCATCCCTAATATTTTTACACACAATAAGCTATGGTATTAGGTGAAAGGCAAGAATTTATTTAACAATAACAAAGCTTTTTGAAAAGAAAGGATAACTCTTGTTTTAAAATCTTTGAAATAAGTAGGAATGAGAGAATGCTGTAATTCAGAGGCTAACACATTCTAATCCTCATAAAACCTAAAACCCCAAGGATGACAAACAATCTGGATATCTGTAAGCATCAGTTAACCATTCAGCTTTAACTCCTCAGTCTTTCCAATTAACACTCAGACTCCTAAACTCTGGTTTCTTTTTTCTTCTATGATAGTTCTTGGAGCCACATTTTACTCTCCATTTTCACATATGTGACAGATCATATTCCTCTGATCTTTCTAAAGTTGCCTCCATACCAAAACCCCAGATGTAAAACCCAAATTTTCAACTGTATCAAATCCAAACCTTCTCTCTCTGGATTTCAAGACTGTCCACAATCATCTCCCACACTCCAGGCATGATGGCACACAAGTCCTCAAGGACCCATCCACACCCCATTTATACACACAATTCTCTCTTCTACTTTTTAATTCAACAAACTATATTCATAGGGACTTCTTTGACTTCCGTCCATCACATTTGCTGAGTGCTTTTCCCAACAGCCGCTCCCTGGAAACCCTATTGGGCAGTTCTACTCTGTCCTATAGGGTCGCTATGAGTCAGTATTAACTTGACAGCAATGAGTTTTTGGTTTTATTGAACCAGTCGCTTGCCTACTGATCTCCAAGACTGCTTCCCAGAAATGACCCTGCTCTTCAAGACTCCGATCAAGTTCCTCTTCTTCTATGAAACCTTCCCAACTCCTGCACTCCTCCTCACTACAGGTTAGTACCACATCAGGGCCTCAGTACTGACCAGCAGCAAGTACTCAGTATTTCCTGGCTTACTGAATCAGCTATAAATTACCTGCTTATAGAAACACAGTCCTTCCATCAGGATTTTTCTTAATGCTGTGTCAATGGATAAGGTTGTTCCTTTTGCCTGAATGCTCTTTGAGTTTCCTAAAATGCTAACAGTGGTGTTTTGGGAACAGCCTGAGGAAAGCTCTGCTTACCAGAATTGATGTCTTACTTAAAATGAACCTCTCTCTGTTCTTCCTTGGCACTTATTCCACTATTATAGATCTTATCTCAATCTCCTTAGAATTAGAAATATTATTATTGCAAACTTGTGGTAAACAGGGCAGGGAGCATGTGTTACTCATCTTGGTGATATGATTACAGCTTGGATGACGGTAATGTTATCATTCTTTTTTCACAAGACATTTACTGTTTGCATTAATTCTAATTCTTATATCTTATTTTTCCTGCAGCTCTATCTTACATCTGGTATTTTATTTATGTTAGCCATGTCCTGTAGACAAACCTCTATATTTAAATTAAAAATAAAATTTTTTGACATAATGTTTAACTATTGTTTAGTAAATAATGTTTGTATTATTGAAAATAATAGGAATAGGAGAATGTTAATATGACTTTAATGTAAAGCAGGCTTCCTTAGACTGTATACAGATGGGTTCATTCAACAAACATCTCCTGAGAACCTACCAAGTGGTAGGAACTATTTAGATTTGGAGGACAGGGTGCTGAAGAAGACTGATGATGTCTCTACTCTAATGGAGCTTATCTTCTGGTAGAGGGAGATGAACAATTAAATAAAAACTAAAAGTATAAAACAAACACATTATTCGCATATTTAGTAAAAGAGGGCAATGTTGTTAAGAGTGACCAGGGTAGGTGGGGGTCTAAGGCGGTCCTGGAAAGTCTCTCTGAGGAGATGACATCTCCGTGAGGGCCTGAATGACATGAAAGGACCTCCAAAAATGTCCATGTCCTAATCCCCTTACCTGGCAAAAAGCACTTTGCAGATTTGATTAAGTTAAGGGCCTTGAGATGGGGAGACTATCTTGGATGATCTGGGCGGGCCCAATGTAATCACATGGGTCCTTATAAGAGGGAGGCAGGAGGGTCAGAGTCAGAGGAGATGTGACAATGGAATTAGAGTGATGTGAGGAAAAGGCCACAAGCCAAGGAATGCAGGCAGCCTCTCTGTTGTTGTTGTCAGGTGCCGTTGAGTCGGTTCCAACTCACAGCGACCTTATGTACAACGGAACGAAACACTGCCCAGTCCTGTGCCACTCTCACAATTATTGTTATGCTTAAGCCCATTGTTGCAGCCATTGTCTCAATCCATCTCGTTGAGGTAGCCTCTAGAAACTAGAAGAGGCAAGGACTGGATTCTACCCTAAAGCCTCTAAAAGGGAGCACATCCCTATCAATTCCTTGATTTTAGTTCCCTAAGACATGTGTCAGTCTTCTGATCTCCAAAACTATAAGACAATAAATTTGTATCATTTTAAGCCACTAGTAGTTGGTAATTTGTTACAGCAGCAGTAAGAAACTAATACAGAGTCAACGGCACTGTCCCCGAGCATTTAGAAATGGAGCTCCAGCAAAGAGTTGATTGCCCCAAAGTTCAGTGCTACTTTCCTCCACGACTTGGCTAAAATCAAGGTACTCACAGGAGCAGGATTAATACCCATGAAGTCATGAGGATCAAACTTCAAAAACAGGACTTCCCAGTCAAACCGCAGTTGCAATGGTGATTGACTAAAATAAACATTAGCATGATCTCCTTGAAGTCTGTGTGGTTTTTTAACACTCAGAAAGTTGCCTTCCCCAAGTGTCCAACTTAAAATTAAGCCAAAGAGAAGACACATGTTTATCTCTTTAGGTTATCTAGGAGAAATAATAAATTAAGTAGAATTACACTGAATTCCTATTATATTACCAATCTAGCTTATTTTTCAATACCACTAAAGTGTACCTGGACAGTGCTCAGAAAATTAACCTTAGACCTTGCCTTTTTAGTTCAAAGGAAAAGGAAATGTTTGAGAAGAGAGAACTGTCATATTATCAGGATTTTACCTTGGGGGGAGGAGGTGGAGGCAAGCAGTAGTATGCAGGCGAGTGGCTAATATGTATTATAAAAGTCTAATACTAAGCTGAAAATTAAAAAACTGTAATGGCTCTCAGAGATATTTTAAAAATATAATTTTACAGAAAATGCACTCTTTCAAATTACTACATAAGAATAATTTATGATTTAAGAAACTATTAAACACTTCATTACCATAGAATAATATTGAGAGAGTGCCTAGAGCTCATACAATATGACACCCTCATTTTACAAATTAGGAAAATGAGGTCAATGTGGGAAAATATCATTTCCAAAGTCACACTACTTGGTGGCAGAGCAGGTGTCTTGCCTCCTGGCAGGCCTTTTCCATCATGCTTCAACCCCTTGATTTTGCTGCACAGCTCAAAGGTGCTTGCGGGTACTACTGGGTTCTAATGAGTAATTATTATAACAGGGACAATTTCAGTGCCAGCATATGAAAGGAAAATCAAACCATGAAAAACAATCTTTAGAACTCTGATGTGTTTTCATTGGATAAGTCAGTATCATTACCACATTTGACACACAGCACACATTCTAAGGCCAATTTGATTACAATCACAGAAACTGAGAATTATATTTAAAAGTATACATGGAAATCCATCATTTAAAGAAAAAATTATATAGGTTTAATAAAGTGTGTGTGTGTGTGTGTGTGTGTGTGTGTTTTAAGGATTGAGACAAGCAGTAAGGGTGCCATTAACAGAAGCTGTGAAACAAAAAGATTGAGGGAGAAAAACATAAAAATATAAAATAACTATCCAGATGGTAAGAACTCTTAATAAATCAATATAATTATATATGGATAATTTTAATTTCAAATTTCAAAAATGAATCAAAATTTTAGTAGCAGAAGAACCTGACACAATCCCCAGATTGAGGGTACTTATTATTCATGGGCAACAGCTGAAATTTAAATGTGAAGTTAACATAATCCCCATGCTTCTTACACATTCTGCCTCTTGGCAGTCTCTCCTTTCTCCTCACACCTCCAAGAGCCAATGAACCAGGG